AAAAATAATAAATACGGCCGGAAGTTCTGAGAGAGAAAAAAGTATCTGAAGCTTGTTTTCCTCAATATGCTTTAACGTTTACGGTGAGTCTCGAAACCCATTTCTGTCCACAACTTCCACAAGCAAAATGTAACCTCAGAATTTCGCGTCGTCGGGTAACTTGCATGTCTTTACACAACACTGTAAGTGGCTAAAAAATTAGACTTCTTAGAGCCATCAAACCGAAAGCTAAATATAAATTTAACGATACCACGTCGCAACTTTACATACAAAAATGTAACGAATTAACACACGAATATATATTCGGTGTGTGTCTGAAGCCAATTACCACACAAAAAACCTCAGGACCCCACCCACGTCAAGCAACGCTAGTGTCGATCTCACCTCAGACGTTCGCTCGTTGTCTTGTCGGTATTACCTAAGGTAGAAGAAGTTAATTCGAAGAAAATTAATTTATACTGGTATTACTTTCCCGAGGTATAGAAACACTTTATGTCTCTACTATGCACGATACTAGTTCTGTAACAAACGAAAGTCTTATATAAATTCTCCAAGTACAATTTATGAAATCTGAAGTTTTTCTCGACGGTGAAACCGGGTTGTATATTCTTGTACGTGGCTATCACTTTTATAAATAAATTAGCAACCATAACAGGACCACACGGCGTCACAACCCACACCATTACCCATGTCCTTGGGACGCCGTGACAAGGTTTCAATAACGAGGAACGGTTCGTGATACGTCACATGTGTTACAGACAATTATATAATCATAACTAGTAAAACGCCTTCAACCCGTTCCCCATGAGACTCTCAAACGCGATGGGTCACGGGTCGAATCCCGAAAAGGGATGTTGTCAAAACAGTGGGAGTACCGAAGCCAACGCTCTCCGAGGCCCACAGACACAGAGCAAAAGTACAGACATTCTCCGCTATTGATCCACATTGGTCTCGTATGTGCAGTACGAAAGCCACGTACACAAATAATTCCATGCATACATTATACACATTCACTCCGGCGAAACTGCGTGAACGCTAAGGGACGCGTGTTTCCAGGTTAGTTTCAAAACGGATTCGATTTCGTAGGATTTGAGGTTTTCACGGCGGTGAGTCTGAAGATGGCTTTCTTCTGGTAGAAGTTTACCGACGTTTCTGAGGTCCCTGCTGCCTCCATCATCACCGCCCAACAACCCAGAAGACTGCCATCTTCGGATCCAATTTAATCTCAAGAACACAGAATGTTCATTATTCCAAGAAGAATCGAAATATGAACCAGCTTCTTCAGTGATTAGAAATGCAGTTACGTATTCTAATGCGATCCTACTGTTAGGATCAGAACAAGTTTAAATCAGGTGTTACAATTACTGGCATGTTCCACAACTGAATTAGACATCACTTCGTCTTCTGTAATATTTTTAGACAGTATCTTAAAGGTCTTGATCCCTGGCCATAATTTAGAAATACATAACAAAAGATTTCAATAAATAAAACATGGTTTACTGAAATAGTAATTATGATGGCAAAGACAGGCGTGACAACCCGCCTCGGACAAACACCAGGGGGTGCCACAGACTGCCCGCCCAGCCCAACAACGCCGAGTTTGGCCACTTCGGTTTCTGGTGGTCTCGTCTCTCTTCTGCTCCATCCTCATTTCTGCACGATCGATAACTGAGCAATGCTCATTTACTAATTCCCAGCTTTCAGATGACTCTGGCTGGGCGGATATCCTCGGCTGAATTCGACTCCACTCGGTGTCACGTAGTTACACGTCTGGGGCGAGATCTACGTTTGTACGTCTTTATTGTGTTTGCTTTCGCTTATAGACACCAAAACATTCGGACTTCAAAAACGATATTTTTTCAATTGTATATTACATTTTAAAAATAATTCCAGGGATAATCGCTTAGTTGGTCAAGAAATTTCCAATCTCGTAAGAAACCCTAACGCGTATTACCGCCACTGGATTTCGCCCTGAAGACGGTGAATCCAGTTCATGCCTCGCACTCTAATCCTTTAAGATTCATCTGAATATTATCCTCCTACAAACGCCAGTTACCCAAGCGGTCTATTCCCCTAACTTCGACCAATAAAATCTTGCATGAATTCCTCATAATGCCCATGCGTGCTACATGCCCCGCTCACCCAGTCCTTCATTTGAACAATTACACATATCTGACACATTTGAAATTAGAAGTTACTGAAAGAACTGGATATGTAGTACGTTTTCAGATTGAACCTTCTAAAATAATGAAAATAGTTGAAGGGGCCTCCTTACGAAGTACGCGGACCCTAGACTGGAAACTACTGCTTTCGACTACGTTCATTTACCGCAGATGCAAATCTACAAATTTAAAGATTATTGTCTTCTTTCGTCAGCTTAACAAAAAAGTCTACCTTCGATTTGATCTTGATGCAAAGATGGACAGAAATGGAGAAAATTGACAGGGGCGTAATCGACCGTTTTAATATTGACTTCACGTCAAATTTAAATGAAAACCGAAATCTATGAGAGGCCTGAGGAATGAACCACGTGGCACGGTAGCCGCGAATGGTCTCCGAATTTCGCGTTCGTACGAAGCAGCGAGAAGGCCTCGATTGCAGAAGATGGATCTGTCGTAGTAGTCGCCTGGTGAACTGAAGGCCTCGCAGATTCCTACGTCACCCACAGCTTGTACAACCAGACAGACAAGTGAGCAGCTGCTAACATTACACGACGTGCTTATGTGCCGGCTGATTTTTCTTTTTCTCTCTTCTTTCATCAGAAGGTTAATCCATCTTCCTGTCTATCAAGGCTTGGGGATCTGTGTCACGACCTGATTTCTGAGGTGTTACTCCTACTTGCATAAAATTTCCAGAATAAACCTTTAATAAAAACCGAACACTGCATTTCCAAATTACTCTTCTACATATGAGGACATCACTGGCATCTAAGTTTGCTAAAATGAGGTGTTTAAAGTTATGATTGAATAAATGCAATTTCGACGTTAATATGTCACGGCACATTGAAACGAGAATTAATGTGAAGGATTCGATACATTTGAAGCTCTGTGTTACAATTTCTTCACGAACAACGTAACATTAAAACACATAAATCTGTTCAAAATGTTCAAAATGTTAATACATTTAACACGACTATATCCAAGACACGGTGGATTTAGTTTCTGCAAACATCTACCAAACGACGCTCACATCTGCGTATGCCTCGACTAGCTGGCTAACAACGTTTTCCATTTGATCAGTTCTGCTGTATTCCACTGTTACGAAGTACCGGTGAACCATGAAATTATGACTTTATTTCTCGTTTTAGCTGGGCCAACTAACACTGCTAACACGAAGGCTCCGATTCAATGGAACATTACATTAAATAAGTATGTAAAATCACGTCTCGCAAACCTAACCCTTGCCACAAATCTGACAAGTTCCGCGGTGTACCCACGAAACAGTGGAAGCCACCAGATACGCCCATGCGTGAAAACACCGGAGTTTTCCGGTGCCGCGGATTTGGGATTAACTCGGCGACCACTTGGAATGTGGTCTACTGCAGTCTGCGGATCCAATTATAAGCCAACACGTCGCATCGCCGAACCGCTGGCTTATGAATGGAGGTTTTACGCGTGGGCGAAGAAGCCTTGAAATGGTGACATTTCAGGTTCTTACGGCGGCTAGTACGAAGACGACCGTCTTCCGCGACGTTACGCCGTGTAGTCTGGTAGAAAAGTACTGACGTTTCGGGTGTGCTTGCTGCTTCCATTACGGAAGCGATGAGCGAGGACGCGAACCTTGGTCGGACAAGGTTGTACCTTGTCCGACCGGTTCCCGCATCTCGACCGATTACTCGAGCGCGGCTTACTCATCGCCCTGATAACAGAGGTAACAAGCGCCTCCGAAACGTTTATAAACTTCTACCAGACGGTCATCTTAGTGCTAACCGCCTTGAGAACCTCGCATCTAAATAAGTTGTTATCTCCTGGCCTGCAGCAGAGGTGATGACTCGATGATGATGACGCGCCTTACACAGAAGACAGGACAAAAGTATCGAAGTGTTTCTCTGCAGTGTCTGTAGACGGTTTGTTCAGGGCAATGGCTATGACGTCAAAGAGCAGGAGACAGATAGGACGGGGCCAAATGAAGGGGAGTGAACGGAGGGGGGACGTTGGTGTGATCCGATGTGTAAACTGCTACGAGACTTGAAGAAACGAACGAAATCGTCAAATCTGCGAGACTCGCAAACAACCTGGCTTCCCGTGTCTTGTGTGCAGAACATCTGCGATTATTACTTAATTATCCACCATACCCCACTTACAAAGCGAAGGTGGCGTCGATAAAAGAATATTTACTCTTAACCGGTATGTTCGAGTCTGTTCTTCGCACGTCAGAATCTGTTGGGAACATACGAAAAATATGCACAGCGAAACCAGCAAGTGTTATCACTGGTAATTGCCTCGCTAATAAAACGAGCAAACGGGACCAATGCATGAGATACACAAGATGCCCCACAAAGTTGTATACACACATTCAACGAATGAAATAAGGCCATTTTAATAAACTAAACCATCACAGACGTCAGCAACGGCACTTTGTAAATTAGCGAATCTAGTGTGAGTGCTCGAAATGACCATCGTTAGCTTCGTGGCAGCGTTGACTGCGATAAGCGATCGATAACAATACTTATATTCCGTATTGGGAAATGAGTCGGAAAACTTCTACGAGACCACATAAAGCAACAAAACAGAAGAACCTGAAATGTCACAAAGCATTGTTCAAAAACGCTAGATGATATTTCGTAACTGGAGAGGAGGAGAATAAGTCTACGGCGTTCAACGGAAATGAGACAGTTCAGAATTCTTTAGATTTAAATATTTGAAGCCATTATGTTCGTGTAAGCAACACAAATCTCTTACATACTAACACGAATATACAGAATGGAAGGATAACAATTACAAGCTGATGGGCGAAACAAACAAAACCCTAAAATATGCCGCTCGTTAAACAACGCTTACCTATATTCGTGTCGCCGTCTTCCGATACTGGCGCTTTCAGCCACATCTTCTTCAGTTTCATGGCGACAGGCGACTCGTCCGACGAAGCCACTGCAAAAGATAAAGTCGTCAGTGCACAGAAATTTAGCGATTTCGAAAGTCCGTCGGTATTCTTCTAAACATTCTAAGAAATTCGTGGATTGCGGTTGTATAAGACGACCACGTAGTGGAGGGAATAATTTTAAGGTACAATCCCAGAATTCGCATGGACCGATTCCTCTTCAGCTGGAGACGACCGTCTTCTGGGTTGTAGCACCGTGTAGTATGGTAGAAGTCTGCCATACTTCTGAGGACACTCTCTCACACCATTCTGAAGAGGTTGAAGAATCACTTCGGACAGTTGTTGAATTTACGTGGGATTAAGAACGTCGAGTAGGCTAAAATACATACAGCTAAAAATCAATACCTCAGCCAAGTTCTTCCGGCATTAAGACTGCTATTCACAAGCTGAATTCTGGGGGCAAGACTCTTATTAATTCCATTTGGAATAAGGAAGAAATGCCACCGCGGTGAAAGGCTCACACACATATATTACTGTAATTATATATATATATATGAAGAGCTATAATACTGAGTGCAGTTAAGAATCGAGGAATATCACTGTTGTCAACGACATACAGAAATGTATCAAGTATTCTTCTGCAAAGGTTAAAGGGGTCACCTGTTTGGATTTCTACGTTCTCTTATCATCTACCGACGCATTCTGTATTATTCAGCCACAAAAACAAATGGAAAAACATCACCTATTCATATATTTCAATAAAGCCTATAAACTATTAGTTACCATCATTTAATGGGCGAGGACACAAATACTTTAAACAGAAACGTATGTTCAGTTGCAAGAAAGTAAGAAAGATGGTCTGGAAGAAACGCATATTAACATATCTGGACAAGAGCTGAAAAGGTTGCATAATTTGCAGGCACAGTCTACTCTTCACGTAATGTTATTAGGATAATCGAGTGAAGGAAGATGTAGGATGCATGGGAACATAAGAAGTGGACTGGTTAGGCTAAGGACAGCAACTGGTCGCAGGTTCTTCGGAACACGGGTAAAGGAGAGAGAGCCTTCGGGTTTCATGACAGCCGGGGAATTTCCGGACGAGCTCAATGACTGTCGCCTTCTCAAGAAGGACTCTGCTCCGTACAGCTAATTTAATTACTTTAATATTCAGCAAAGTCTGCATAAGGCAGTTGGAACTTTACTGTTTCAGCAACGAACTTGAAAGAAAATTTTACCTCGATGCGGTACAAGGGTTACTGGACCAACAGGGTGTCTGCCCTATGTTCCTTCCAGAACAGTATAGAAATTATTCAAAACGTCGAAAGGAGTTGACTTCGAAAATTTATTGAGCGTCTAACAATAAAGTATGACAGCACATAAATAAAAATTTATTTGAAATACGAGAGTAGTTCACACAGCAGCTGGGACAAAAGTTAAGTCCTCAATATGTAGGTTCCGAAGATTACAAACATTCGGGATTTCGCTCCAGTTACATAACCCGAAAACCAATAACCTTGAAAAGCTAACAGTCGCTCGGGTAGTCAAGAAGTGACCTTCCTCTTATGGAACCAAAAGGTATGATCGTAACAGCTCGAAAACTGAAATGAACCCTGTACACACCCTCATAACCAATTTAAGATACATTTTAATATTATAATGCCATCTCGGTACTGGTCTAGCAAGTGATCTGTTTTCTTCACGTGTTGCGATTAACAATCCTTCGATCCAGCAGATGGCACAAATACCACAATTCTAAAAAAGTAAAAAAAATCTTCATCCTTAATACACAACCTTAGAAAAACAAAATTAATTTACCACGTAAGAAATTATAAATTGTAGCCAATATCCATGTTTCAATACGCCGCACAACAGAAATATTAAATCAAAGCGTCCAAAATACATGTATCATTCACAATGTAAGAAATCTGCATTGCATTGTAATTTATATTTGAAGAGATTCACAGAACAAGATACGAGGACTCTGGCAGCGGGTGTTCAACATTCACAGCTGCAAAAAATAAAACCATGTGGTCTCTGCCACCGCCAAGTTCAATATACGTAAGGTAAGCAAACAGGGAATCACGCGGTATCCGACGGATAAACAAGATTCGGCCATTTATAACTACCATATAACGACACGTTTACTACTGAGACCAGTCCCTGGAGGTGACGGGGAAAATAAATAAAAGACCCGTATAAGGCGGGTCCCTCTCGTACAAACACTGTTGGTTATACACCGAAATTGTTTAAAGTTAATTTAAATTACAGGCCTCCATGAAGAAGATGCAATAAAATATTCATCCCAAGGCAGATGAATACGAGACAAGCCTGCAGCTTCATTAGCTACCGAAGGCAAAACAGTTTAGAATTCTCGCCTGAACTACGTTTCCCTCAATAGATTTTATTGGCCTACTTCTGAGAAACCAAGTGTCACGCATGCGCAAAGCATAGATCGAAAAATAAAAATCACGCGTCTCCGCAGTCACATACCATGACCCCCCCTTCAATAGGCGAAATTTCAGATTCTCACGGTGTGATGTTGCGCCACGTGGTCTGGTAGAAGTTTACCGATGTTTCAGGGATGCGCAGATCGCCCTGATGATGGAGGCAGCAAGTACCTCCGAAACGTCTGTAATCTTATACCGGATAACACGGCGCAACCACCCAGAAGACAGCTGGTGATAAGATCATCGAGTTCTGTTGCACAGCAGATACTGTGGCGAAACTTCTAATCATGGCCAATAAATACATGTGAACACAGGCCGAGGTTTATCTCAGAACCTGTAACTTTTCATCAAAATTGTCTTTCGTTCTCTTAAGTATCCCGAGACAAATTAAGCTTTGGCAGCGCAGGTTCAATTCAAAAGTAGCCTATCTCAGCAACCCAATTTAATTAAGTAACTGCAGAAGATGAAATCGGCAGTATATAAAAAGCAAACCCTTTGTTTTTAAACAAGTTGTTGTGGCTGTAATTAAGTAAATGGTGAGGAAGCCCATCCCTTATAAGAGAAAAAAGAGTCTTCGCTGTCTCACGTTCAAAGGTTCGTATCCGGAGACAAAACAGTTTCATCGACACCATCTGTGAACACTTTCTTACGAACGAATTCCCACAGTATGCCAGTATTATGCCATACCCAGACTTAGGCTGGTCCCCAGACACACGGGCATGTTGTAGGCATAAGACACTTAGAACTGAAAACGTAAGACGTGACACATGGAAGAAAAGGGGGCGAGAAATTAAAATAATAGACAAATCACAGCGAAGTAACTTCTCCGCCAGTAACACAACAGACAAAGGGACCTCGGTACCTTAACCACACGTTGATTTTACTAAAAAAATTGATAAGTAACGAATTGGGATGGCGCAGTAACCACAAAAAATGTCTTGAGAGTGAATCATTCAGTCGCTAATTAAACCCAAATCCTCTCAAAAATTTTGGACTTCAGACACTGCAATCACTAAACAAGTGTGGGCTAATAGGCGCTGCACGCGTTCAGCGTGGGCGGGCGACACAATGCCGAAGACAGGGTCACACAGTACACAACATCCACAGCATGCCGACTTGTAGCATGGTCTCCATAGCAACCAGCTCCACTCGGGATCTGCTGATTGATTAATAAGAGTACAGTTCTGAGATACCTTCTCGGCATCCACCATGCATAGCCAGGAACACTATTGTTCCCCGGCGAGGAGACCGCCGTCGACTGACAAATTCGTGGAAAAGGGAAAACTGATGTCGGACAAACGAGAGCGGGGGAGTTACCAGACGTAGTAGAAGTTGTGATCTGCCTTCCAGATTCTACCAACACCCTAAGCAATCATTTCGAAATGGTACACCCGCCTCCATTACTGATTAATCATAATGATATATGCACGCTATACAAGGGTGATTCAAAGAAGTGTCAGCAACATTGCAGCGAAAGGCAAGGGGGCGGCGTGCTGCGAGTGTGGTTCAGCTGAGACAAGGACCACAGGCTGCCGAGTATGAACAGAAATGTTTGCCATTACTAGCTCTCAAGAAAACGCCAAAGCACGGAGCAGGAGCTCCCGGGTTTGCCTTCTGCCACAAAAGATTCAAGGCTCAGCTGTATACGAGAAAACCTTTGCACTTTTCTCAGAATTTCAAAGGTCTGGTTTTGGAACCGCACTGAGAGGGCGCCGATTTACCAATGACCATAAAGAGGCAGTGCATTCGCGGCTTCAGGAGTCAAAAACATCCTTGCCCCTGGGTGTACACGATGTAATGCCTCGATAAAAGAAGCGCATTGAGAAGCGGGTAGAATATGAATAAGAAAACGTTTCATAGGCAGTAATGGTTTGTTTGAAGACAGTTGAAGAGGTCGAGGCGATAGCCCCTTATGATGGAGGAAATAAGTACCTCGAAAAAGTCGATCACGAGACTACAAAGCGCAACACCCCTGAGGGCTGTTACCTTCAAGTTATGGGCTGTGACAGTTATTCAAATATGTTATATTACTTATTGAAAACTTTGATTAATACCACGATACTTTTCTGAGGAACCGAATCAAGGCCTATTTGAAAACGTCTGATAAACATCAGATACAGGACGGAATCAGAAATCCAATGAAAATCGCTGACTGGATAAAGTCAGGCGCGAGACCTGTAGTCAGACAAGACTGAGCTCAACTTGTGGTTCTACTAGTTAAAACGTACGTGAGAGGACGTTCTAATGAGCAAGTGCTAAGTAATGGAATCAAAGAAGCAGAAATGACAATTCCAGTCGCGAAGCTTGCATTCAAGGCGTATAAGACGTCGTTCCCATCACAGTACGTCGGGCAAGAGAGCACAAAAAAGTACGACGGACAGTCCACGCTGAACGTTTCATGTCGGTACACTCTCCACCAAAAACACGTTACCAAGTCACAATTCGCAACTACTAACAAATCAAGAATTTCCAATTTCCACCAGAATTTTATATCGAATCACTGAACAATCTGTCAATTTTCAGCTAATGCCAATTTCTGTACCGTCGTTTTCAAATATCTAATTCCAACCCAACAATTAATTAGCCCTTCCAATGCAACGTTT